CACAGCATCTTGATGGGATTTAGATCCAGGCTTTGATTTGGCCATTCCAGAACCCTTAATTTCTTTTTCTTTTTCTTTTTTTTTCAGCCATTCTTTGGTAGATTTACTGGAATATTTAGAGTCATTGTCATATTGCAAGGTTCACTCCTCAGTTGAGCTTCAGTCTTCCAACAGATGGTCTCACATTATCCTTAGTCACCCTCTGGTATGATGAAGAATTCATAGTAGATTCTATGAAGATGAGCTCCCCAAGCCCCGATGCAGCAGAGCAGCTCCAAACCATAACATTTCTATAACCATGCTTTACAGTTGGCATCAGTTTCTTCTGGTGAAATGCTATCTGGTTTTCTCTAAACAGGCCTTCTGGTACTGTGGCCAAATAACTATTTACCTCTTCTGCTGAGGGCACATTATTCCAGAAGTCCTGGTCTTTGCCTAGATGTTCATGAGCAAACTTTAGTCTTGTCCTGATGTTCTTTCTGGACAGCAAAGGTTTCCTCCTGATACACCTCCCATGTAGATTTAATTTGTGCAGTTTCTTTCTAATGGTAAACTCATGCACTTTGTCATCAGTAGTAGCAAGAGCTACCTGTAGGTCATGTGATGAAATTCTGGGGTCCTTAGAGACTTCTTTCACCATCTTGCATTCTGCTCTTGGGCTGAACTTGCTGGGACAGCCTGGCCTGGGCAAGTTGGCAGTTGTTTGAAATCTCCACTTGTAGATGATCTTCTGGACAGTGGAATTATTGATGTCCAATAGTTTCTAAATCCTTTCTCAGACTCATAGACATCTGTAATCTTCTTTCTGATGTAGGCATGATGATACCACACACATCAACAACAAAGAGCAAATCAAATTAAATGTCTGAGGTTTAAATAAGACAGGTTCCTGTCAGATCCTCCTTAACAGTGTTCTAATCATCTGTACCTGATCTAGTACATCTGATTCTAATTTTAGGTATTTGAACTAGTGAAAAATGTAAAGGTGTACTTATTTTTTCCATATGCAAAATTTGCATTTATGTTTATTTAAATTACACAATGGACTACAAACTGTAAATGGTGCATATTTGTTATATTATACCCCCTTTAACAACCAATATTGTTGAAATGAAGATCAACTTTTGCATGTTGAGATATGAAAAATCTCAACGGGGTGTACTTTTTCACATGACTGTATATAATTATGATAGTATTTCTTACTATTGTAGAAAGTCTGCT